GGGGGGGGGAACCGAGAGAATACCTCCAGCCTTTGCACCCAAAACCCAGAGAAAAGGAGCCCTTCCGTTTGGTGTCGTGGTTACATGCCCAGACTCTACTCTGGGAGAACCGGGTTTGATTCCCCACTCCTCCTCCACTCGCACCTGGCTGGATGACCTTGGGCAAGCCGTAGTTCTGACAAGAGCTGTCCTCGAAAAAAGAGCAGTTTCTGTCAGAGCTCTCTCAGCCCCACCTGCCTCACCGGGTGTCTGTTGTGGGGAGGGGAGGGGGGTATCAATCCAACCTCTTCTTGAGAGCCAGTCTGGTGTAGTGGTTAAGTGTGCGGACTCTAATCTGGGAGAACCGGGTTTGATTCCCCCACTTCTCCACTCGCAGCTGCTGGATGACCTTGGGTCAGTCACAAGCTCTGGCACAGCTGTCCTTGAAAAAGAGCAGTTTCTGGCAGAGCCCCCTCAGCCCCGCCTGCCTCACAGGGGGTGTCTGTTGTGGGGAGGGGAGGGGAAAGGAGTTCGTCAGCCGCTCTGAGACTCCCTTGGGTGGTGAAGGGCGGGGGGTATAAATCCAACCTCCCCTTCTTCACCCGCAGAAGGCAGACCTGGCCCCTGTGGGCCCCTGTGCCCTGCCTGCTGCCCCCACAGCAGCAGCCCTGGCCAGCCTTTGGGGTCGAACGCCTTGGAGGCACCAGGAAGGTGGGAGGTGGGGGTCTTGGGGCACTGGCAAGGCCAGCGGGGGGGCTCTCAGAGGCAAGTTGCCAAGAGTGGGGGGCAGACTGCAGATGCCTCTCTCGCCTCAGGCCACGGGGACCAGCCACGTGACAGGGGTGGGGACTGAGGGCTGCGAGGCAGAACTCCCAGCAGAGCACAGCAACCCCACAGGGGCATGGAACCCCAACCCCCCACCCACCCACCCGGGACTCTCCTAGGACAGCTGCCGACCACCACCTACCCCTCCCTTCCTCTTACATTTCTCTGCAAGTTCACAAAGTGCGGAAAAGCCATTCTGGAGAGGCAGATTTCCACCCACCCCCGGCAAGAAATCCTCCCGATTTCAGGTCCTTTCAAGGACCCTGCAAGTCACCTGATAGGGAAGGGGCCTTTTTTGCCCCCCCCCCCCCCGCAATTATTCCCAGGCAGTGCTGCAAGTCTACATCTGTTCCAGGCCAGGGAGAGATTTATCATCCTGTTCCCCTGAGACTGGCGAGGGAGGGGGGACTGAGTGGGCTCTGCACAGTCTCCCCCCCACCAGTCCAGAACCCAGCCGGCCGGCCCGCTTGCATCAGCGCCCCCCCTTCCAGGAACGGGGGTGTGTGTTTCTCCTGCCAGGAGTCAGGGGCCAGCAGCTGCAGACTCCGCTTCCTTGAGAGCCAGGGCGAGGTGGAGCGACTGATCTCAAGAGGAGAGGGACCCCTGCAAGCCCTGCCGGCTCCCCGGCCGCTGCTCTGACCTTCTGCCGAGTTTGTCATAGCTGGGCTTCTGGAAGGTCAGGGCAGCCCGCAGGGCTGGAAGGGCTCCCCTGGGGGCCCGCTCTGTTCGAGGGGTGGGGGGTGGCCTTTGCTGGAGCCCGGCCAACCCGGCCCCCCTCCTTCCCTCCCTCCCAGTCCCAGGCAAGCTGCTAGTCCCCACGAGGGCTCTGGCCAGGGCCCCCCCAGCCCTCTCCCCGGGACCACACGAGGGCTCCAGTGTGTGTGTGTGG